CGAGCAGTGTTGTAACTGTAGCAATAGCAGTAAGAGCAAACTTGCTTTTAGCAGTCCCTTGTAAAGAGATTTTAAAGGTCTGGTTCTTCTCTGCCTGGTGTTAACTAAGTGAGAGAGGTCTACAAATTGTGTTTTCCAGCCTTTTGTACTTTGATTTCACTCTAACCCTGAAGCCTTATGGGCCTTATGAAGTTTTAAGAAATGTTTTCCATGTGTAGCACACTTCAAAATGGATGAAAAAGCATCACTCTTTTTAAACCTACAGGATGTTAAAACAGACTTTAAGTCTACTTTAAGTTTTTAAGCAGTACTTCAGATTCTTCCAAGTTAAGATCATACTTGTCATACCTAGAGTAAAACTAAAATAAGTGCAGTGAAAAGGCCTGTAACCAGCTGATTTAACTTCTGGTTTTGAGCTTCAAAACATATTTGATTATATGCAAACCAAATGTGGCACAGACTCAGAAAACCGCAACGCTTCCCCCTCTCAAATGAAGACAGTATGCCACAGCAATAGCAACTTGAGACTGTCTGGATTGTTGCAAAATGTGTCAAGAGAAAGACCATAAAACGTTAAACTCTTAAGAAATCTTGCCTCTGTTCCTTTCCCTCCCAGTTTGCTGCCCTTCTGACAGTAGGTATTGTATTTATTCTGACGTGCTAAATAGCATCTACTCAACTCCTGGTTCCTCTGTTATTACAAATCTTTGTTTTTCATAGTAGGATGACTTTCTGAAGTGGTCATACCTAGTAAACTCACGTCTGTCTTTAAATGGTTAGGTGACTTGAGAGAAAGTGACCACAGCTGAACAAGTTACCGTGCAGCGGCCAAGCCACAACAGCTGGCCCTGTGCTTGCTTGCTGCCCGTCGCAGATGAGAGGCCAAACTTTTCACCTGAAAAGGTGTTGCACAGACAAGTCATTTTGCGGTAGTTCTGTTCAGGTGACAGCTGCGATAAGCACCAGCGCAGCGTTACTATCTTCTCTGACCTGTGCTCTGGCACTATGTGAGCAGCGGTGCCTGTGGGAGATACAGGGAAGGCTGGGACGCGTGCTTTGAGCTACCTGGCTTCACAGAGCATGGCACGGAGGAGGATATGCTCTGGTTACTAGGGGTATAGTCTCAGGTCCTGCATAACAAAAAAAAAAAAAGTCAAAACCTAGTTACTGAAAGATGGTAGTTCCTCTGACAATGTTCCCAAAGTGAGTAATCTGTTACAGGCTTGGGTGCTAGCTGTGCTAACCAGATGTTATCAATATCTCTATGAATACATTGACCAGAAGGCTAGGGCTGCTACCTTGTGTTTCAGCACCTCCCATGCCCTCCTATCCTTGATCCTGCCTCCAGGTTCTCACCTTTGCTTTCATAATCATTTTTAGCCTAGTAACTTGGGAATTTCTGGTCTGCTTACAATTTCGTCCAGCCAGTCTGTCTTATGTGAGTAGTCTTCTGAATTTTAGTCTTGCCACACTGAAACAGTCCTAAAGAACACAGAACAATGGTCCTTTAATTTGCCGAGGTGCTCTTTAAAGTTGAAAAGTTGTTTACAGCCAAGTCAGAACGGAATGTCTCCAGCGTGAGGTTAAAATACCTGTGGAGGCTCCGTCTGGCAGGCCGCAGGACTAGCCACCTCCAAGGAGTTCTTCAGGGATGCAATTAATGGTGCTTTCCTCAGTAGTCCCTTATCATTCCCTTTGTAAGAGACTTGGTGTGCACTTAATTTGGGCTTTTAGTAACCAAGAAGTGCTCTTCCAAGGATTGCTTGCTTGCTCCTAATTACCTTTACAACGCAGGCCAGAAGTTAAAGATGAAATGTACCTTTGGAGACATTCCCTCCCTTTAAGGGAGGGCAAAATCTCCCAGTACAGAGGTAGTCCCGTTCCCATTGGAAATTCCTGAAGCTAATTGAGGCAGAAATGTCTGGGGCAGGGTGTGGTGCACCAGCCCCAGGGCCACTGGCCTGGGGCCATCCCTCCTGCTTCTGCCCTGCACAGCTGTTCCCAGTCCCCGGTCAGGTCTGGTCTGGCTAGGTGTGTGTGTGTGTGTGTGCATGCATCAAATTACTTCTCTGCAGCTGTTGTTGGCCCTGAGCTCATGGGGAAACCTCTGGCGGAAACTAAGAGAGTCTTAAGTTTGCAACCAGCCAGAGCCCTTACTGGTTACAGGTGTCTTGTAATCATGCCGATCTCTCTCTTAGTAAATGTTCAGAAAATGGTTTGCTCTTGCTAGGGACCTGTACTAGTGCAGGGATGCCTTTTTGCAGGAAGCTCAGCTCACAGGTTTGTTTGCTGTTGGCAGTGTTGACCAGACCTCCTGATTCAGTGGTCCTTTGTCTCTCTGGGCGGCAAGGTGCCAAATGTTCTTTCCCCCTTGTGCTGATGGTGACGTGCCATGGGTGTATGTATCCCGTGCAGTATTCGTGCTAAAGATGTGTGGTGACGTGGTGTGTGTGGTGCTCGGTGTTCCTTTGAAAATACAGGATGAGCTTGGTCTACATCCTTTGCAAGAAGACTTTATAGTTTGTTCCCAGAGGTGTAGGGGACTGGAAGAAAAAAGGAAGAGATTTGCTTTTGGAAAGGTAGACCAGCCACTTAAGGCAAAGATTTATTTTAAAGGCTTTGCTGCGAACGACTGCTCCTTGAAGGAGAACAGCACTGTGTGTTTAAAAATCAAGAGTTGAGGCAGTGAGGAAGGCTGGTACCGTGTGCTCCTTGGAGGTAGTACTGGCTGAGAGAGATGGTAGGGAGAAAGCAGCTACGCAGGTGACCTGATAGGAGAGGAGCTACTGGAGCAGGGGTGGCAAAGAAAGGATGATGAGTTCAGAAGAACAAGCTGGGAAAACAGCTTTTGTGCTAAGAAATAGCTGGGTGGTAGTGAGGCAAAATAGTGTTTAGGAAAGGTAGGGAAAAGTACAGGGCAGCACTCAAGGCAAAGTCCAGCTGTGCAGATGAGTAGCTGAATGGTGTCCATGGATTTAAGATATTGGGCAGAAAAGAACTGGGTAATTAACATATAGATATATGCAGCTGCCTGGATGAAGGGTGGTACTGGAGTTACAGGTGCTGGGGAAGGCAGTGCAATGGTCTTGTGCCCAGTAGTCATGAAATAAGGTAGGTGAAGCAGGGAAAAGGGAAAGCGTAAAGTTGCCCTTGAGAGGGCAGCTGAGCATCTGTAAAGAGATCAATAAGAACTTGCATGGGAGGAGCATCGCATGAACAGAAGTTGATCTGAGAGTGATGGGGACAGAGAAAGAAGCTGAATTTGTCTTCTGAGTAGATGCAGACGAGAGAAAAGTGTCGTCATGGACTGAGCCTTACAGACTGCTGGAGGGGTCGCAAAGGCTGTTCTTCAGATGAAACGCAGAGACTTGAAGCATTGTGTCCAAGAAGCATGAAAAAGAAGGGGAACAACTGGGTTTCTTTCGGGGGATAAACTATTCTAAGAATTGAAGATACTGAGCATGGCTGTATTTTTATGGGGGAGTGAAAGGTCCCATATAATACAAGAGAAGGATGGGAGTATGACACAATGCCAATCAGGAGCAAAGTTCGAGGGAGAAGGTAGTGAAATCATGTCTGTGATGGTGTTCCTATGAAGGGCAAATAGAAGAGAGGATGTCTTGTTCTTGTGACTATCTCTTGGAAGAAATAGCAAGAGGTGAGCAGGGGACTGAGCAGAACACAAAATCCCACACTTCCCACCAGCCTGATCATTGGGATGCAGCAGAGCTGCTTTGGGGCAGGCAGTCGAAGGGGAGAAGAGAGAACTTGTCGCAGAGAACATCTGCTTGGTTGGTGGCCTCTTGCCACTAGCGACAACCGCTGTGAAACTGGGAGCAGAGCAAGAGAGTGCTGGGTGAGCTGGGGAAGACATGGCTGGGGGAGAAAGAGGGGACAGAAACACAGACGTGAATGTGACAGCAGAGCTCTGAAGTCCCAGATGAAGTCAGCCAGCACAAAACCGCTTACATTCAGTCTTCCCTCCTCCTCTGTCTTGGCCTCTGCTCCTTCTCACTGATAAAGCAGCCCTGATCAGGTCTTCCCCATTTTGAAAATCTCGTAGCTAAGCAGAAATTACAGTCTATGCAAGGATGAAAGTGTTTGTTTTTCTTTCTGTTCCTGATATTTACTTCATGGGAGAAGTAGGTGGCTAACATAATTCATGTTTATTGCTAAATGTTGCTCTTTGATGTTTTCTTATTACAATAGCCTGAACTCAAAGCCAGCAATAAACTAGAGGGATGGCACCTCATAAACATAGGGCTTCATTTTTGACCCTGTAAACTTTTTGAAACTTAAAATTTAAATAAAAAAAAAGTTGGTCTCTTTTGCTTGCAAATAACTCTTCCATTTCATTTCACAAAATAGCAGCCCTCCAAGTAAACAAACCTCAAAATCCTGTTCCTTCCTCTTCTCTGACCTCTGGTCTCCCCTAGCCAGGAAAAGAAAAAAAAAAAAAAGCAGTTGATTTGCTCTTGGTCAGCCTGTGTAAGTTTTGGTCAGCTAGCTGTGACTTTCTTCTTCTTTAATACAACTTTTATCAGAACACTTTGGTTTTTCTTTTTATTTTTCCTAATTTTTCGTGGCATCTGTTTTTGCTCAGAGTTCCTGCTTGATGTATAGCATTTTGTTGGGTGCTTTTCATCATCTAGCTGCAGACAGCTAGTGGCTGGCTGAGACTTCGAAGGATCTTGGGACAGAGCTTATTCTTTGTGAAACACAATGTACAGTTCTTTCTAGGTTTTTTCAGTCATAATTAGCTGTGTCAGATTAAGTTCTTTTAAGTTCCCTTGGACCCTCCTGTCCTCTGACTTCTGCAAGAATAGATGCAGTATTTGGATTAGATAAATAGGTCAGAATCATTTACTTCACTATGGAAAACTAATCTGCTTGTTAAAACTGTTAGTTTATCAAACAGTGTAATACAGTATTGTTCTGGCAGAGACTCTGCTGGCAGACACCAGTCCTTGTGTCTCTCTCCGTGGAGGGATATACTGAAGATGAACTTTGTTTCTAGCTTAGGAAAGCAGATAGTCATCTTGGCTATCTCTGCAAAGCCCTCAGAATTTGTAGTTTCTGGAAGATACGTGGTGGATGTTATCTTGAAATTCTGGCTGAATACAATGCGGAGCACCCAGTCTCCAAGCTGTGCGGTACTGCAAAACCTATTATTACTGCGATACTCTCTATCAGCCTCATTAGGGATGATGAATGAACGGTCACTGCTGAAGCATTTTTTTTTCTCCTCTTCTGAAAAGACCCGTTGACAATGGTTGCTGCCTGTGTGTATGCACGGGGTGAATTAATCAGCTAAACTACTACTACAGTAATACTAACCTTTAAACAACAAAACATCATCCACATTATCTGCTTAAATCTCTTTTGAAGAGACTCTTCCCTCCTCCTCCTCTCTGCAGAATCACCTTCCAGCTCCCTTGCCTTAAAGGGCTGTGTCATGCAAAAAGCACAAAGCACAAGTGAAATGGCTTGCATTCGTTTATCGTCGTCGTCCGTCCAGTGCCTAGGTGAAGGAAATTGTCTCTTGGGCTTTCCTGAGGCTGAACGTGTGAACGAGTTCATTTGACTATACAGCGTTTGCATTGGACCTCAGCACCCCAAGTCTGCAATTGCATCCCTGTGGGTGGACTGCTACCCACATGTCAGGCTCCGCTGATACAAGCGTGTCTAGTGTGCCCTCGGGGGTTAGGCTGGGAGGGAGGCCTGGCCCTTTCACCAGCTGTCCTCCTCTCATGTGGCAGCTCAAGCTGAACTTTGGGTCACACCAAGGTGTAAATAACCATCCTTGCTTCTTTCCTCTCTCCTTTCCCATGTCGCTTTCCTGCTGCCTGCGATGCCCCAGCACGGGAGCTGGGCTATGCCTCGGTGCCGTGTGTCAGGCAGAGCAGGACCGGTGGGCTCCCCCGGCAGCCGGTGCGGGGCAGGTGGCCGGGTGGTTGTGTAGGACGGGTGTTGTACTGCCTGGGGTGCGACTGCGCAGCATCCGCTTCCTTGTAAGTACCGTGCATGCTAACGGTCCTGAACAAGTTGTCTGTCCGGTAAAGAAGTGGTTACTGGGATTGGCGTCCGAATACTCTGGCCTGGTGCTTTTTTTGGCTAACGGAATCCTTTGTCCCTGGTCAGGTGTGCAGGAGATGCAGCCCTAAAGAAAGCCTACGAAGATCCTGTTCCTGCCCCTGTAGTTTGCTATGTAGATGTTAAACTTGTCACTTGAAGATGGTTGCTTCTTGTTTGAATCTAGGAAAAAGAAAACTTTAAGATACTTTACAAATAAAAAGACTTAAGCTTTTTTTCAGTTTGAAATGTGTCAACAGAAGTAAGTTGCCACTTGGATTTTTCTGGAGAGGAGCAGGGGGTGGAGGACAAAGGAGGACTGTTTTTCCTCCATTGGAACCAGCTGTGGTTTGTTCGGCTTTTGTGCATTTGGATGGGCACTCTGAATTGAAATCCAAACTGGAACTAGCAGTTAATATTACAAACAAGCAGCATAATTTGACTAAACTAGCTTTTAGATGATCACAACTAGGCTTTGATGCTGAAGAGTGGGATTTTCATAACTGCAGAAGTAATTTGAGAACATGCTTGCACCCAAAGCTGGTAGGGTTGGGTTTTTTTGTTGTTTTTTTTTTTTCTTGAAGATGATTATGGTGATGATTCATACTTTTGTTAGTCTCAGCAAGAATGGCTTGCATGTATAAGTTGATTTAACATCTGAGAACCTCTAAGCAAGTCATTCTCCATTTTGACCCCCCCCCCCCCCCCCTTCTTTGTTTGCTTGTTAGTTTTTTTGTCTTTGGTTTCTTGTCCTGGTATTGACTGACTTTGCAGATGAGAACTTCCATGAGATCCTAGTCACAGCCTTCCTTGTTCTTGGATTTGTGGACATGGTCTATGCTTTCAGGATTGAGTTAGCATGATTTAGAGGTTCGGTTGCTGAACAGTAGTTTGCTAGTGCTATACAATCTGAATTATGAAATTAAATGTACCAGAAAGATGATTTAAGCTATTTAGTTTAACTAGATGCCTGTTTTTTCACACTCATCATTTCCTTCATTAGAGAATCTAATATTTTTCCTCTTACTCTTAATAGCATATTTGGTTTCTAATATCAGAAATAAGGTCCAAATCTTTTCCTCAATCACTTTCTGACTTACTTAAAATAACTTCATGGATTTATAACATTTTCAATTGTCTTGTGCCAAATCATACCCTTTTTTTTTTTTTTTTTTTTTACAGCCACTTACTGGTCTGTAAAGCTTCAAAAATAAAAACCAGTGGAGTGTCAGAAAAATTAAACCCATGAAACTAACTTAGAATAGGAACTTTCCTCCTCCTATATGGATATCAGGAAATTCAAGGGGCATGTAGAGTGAGTGTATTTCCTAATAACAAGCTGTGCGCTTGCATACCACACTTCTTTAAAGGTCTTGTGGTTGGGATCCCAGTGGTATTGATGGGATACGTGCAAAGAATTTTTATAAGGTTGTTTGAATAGCTGAGTGACTTCTTTTGAAAGCAGTAGAGTGAACACTTCTGCTTGGGAGAAGAATGGTTCTGTGGATGCCTGAGATGATGATAATGAATGATGGAGCTTCAAAGTTAAATCCTACAAATGCAATTATCCTCTAGAGGATTAATGAAAACTTAATATTTAAAAAAAGACACTTTCTTTTAAGGTGGCACGCTTCAGCATATCTGTTGTCAAGCAGGGTGGTGTCTTGGTAGCCATGGTTATATTCTAGTGTGAGGACCTAAAAGGTCATTTGTAGACTTGAAAGCACCGATGTGTGACTATATTCATCATAGAAAGAGAGAGGTGATGTATACCATATTCAAATGCCAAGCTAGAGCATTGGCTGTGGTGACATTTGACAGCAGACGTTCTGTTTGTTTTCTCTTGCAGTTTGGGGCAGAGTTCAGAAGGTTCTCCCTGGATCGCTACAAGCCAGGAAAGTTTGAAGACTTCTACAAACTAATTCTTCACATTCATCACATAGCCAACCTGGAAGTGATGATTGGATATGCTGATGTGCATGGAGACCTTCTCCCTATTAATAATGATGACAACTTCTTCAAGGCTGTTTCAAGTGCTCATCCACTGCTCAGGGTTTTTATACAAAGACAAGGTAAGATGCAATTTCATTTTGGTGCCTCGAAGTGTGCTGGGGCAAGGTGAAGAGTTGATTTGTGGCCCCCGTTTAAAGGCTGAAATGATGTAAGAGGGACCTAGGAGCCCTCTCACTCGTCCTCTCAGGTACTTCATTACAACTTGCAGGAATGGTGTGACTTCAGGGCAGGTAGAGGGACTGCATTGCTGCCTGTAAGGCGTCTGAAGGATAACATGCTGAGAATCCCCATGAGCCCCTTCTTTTCTGAGGAGAGCGTACCTTGTGCTGCTGGTACTGGGTCATCACTTGATCATGCCAACTGCACCGCTCCACTTGTTTGAGGGAGGGGATCCTAGTGTTGTACTACTACTCACATTCAGAAATCTTGTCTGTCCATCTTCATAGTCAGTGTCATACGCAAATGATTCACGCCTGTATAGTGTGTGAATGCTCATAGATATGTAGTTATTAAAAAAAAAAAAATCTGTCACAGATGAGATCTTGTTTGACTATGTTGACCTGGCAGACAGACAAATGATGATTCTCCCCTCTGTCCTTACACTAAAGGGTGTTGAATCTTCCCATTTTGAATCATCAAGCGAACGTTGGGCAGAATTGCCCAAATGTTAAGATGACATCAGGTTTAAGTGGCTGTGTGTTGTTCTTGTCAAGCTCTTATTGCCGGTATCTGAAACCTTATCCTTAAAGACCATGTTTGGCAGTCGCTTCAGATGAGGATTGCTTTTTATAACAAGGTGTCTTCCCCACAGAGCTCCTTAAATCCCAGGGGAACCTAACACTGTGTTAACACTACCTCCACATTTTTTCAGTCGTGGTGATTTATTCCACAGGGCTTTTGGAATTAAAATCTTGTCAGTGGCAGAGTCAGAAATGAGACTTGATCTGAGACTTCAAGCAGTCATGTAGCTTTTTTGGCCTCTCTGCTGTGTGGGCATTTGTACTGATAAGGATTTAGCAGGAGGCTTCAGCCTGCTCGTTGGTATGAGCTGCTGTAGTGTGTGGTTCAATTCGGTGTCGTCAGATATAGCCAGGGCTCTGTGGCCCTCCCCATTCAAAGCATGTTTTCTGCCGCCTTCTTTTAGATGGGAATAAGTGCTCAAGGAGGCAATGGAGAAGAGGATCTAGAGCAGTTTGTTTTGTTTGTGTGTCTGTCAGATGAGTGGAAATGTCTGTGGGAGAGGACTTGGGTTGCTCGCTCTCCTTTCCTGTGCAGAAAATGCAAAGGTGGATGACAAGTCCTATTAAGTCTCCTTCCTGCAATGCCTGTTAGGGCTTGTGAATGCTCATGGTGGGTCAGGTCATGAGAAATCACTTGCATGACTTTGTCATGCCTGCATCAGTTCGAGTTAATTCATGTCTCTGGATCAATCCTGTTCAAAATGCAGCTGTTCTTGCCCTGCTTGGGCAGACTGCTGAAGCCAGAGTATCCCTAACTCTGCGTTGGGAGGGGGGGTTGCCACCGAAATGCTGATCGCAGAAGTAGGCAAATAAGAGAAAACTGTTGACTACATGTGGAAAAGTGCTCCCTCCTCTCCTTCAGTAGGAGAAGTATGCTAGTTGTGGAGGTTTAAAACTTGTAACCTTAATGGAAAAGTGCAGTATTTCGTTTTTAAAAAAGTCTTTCTTTTACCTGTTGCTCAGAGAAAGAATCATGGTGACGAGTAAGAAAGCTCATACAAGAGGGAAGACAGGCCTATGCCTCCTCACGTGTGGCAAAGCCTGAAAGCTTTCCCAACATTCTCCTGCTCTCCCTCTATAAAGCTGAAGGGAACAGTAAATTCTGGCCCGTCCCTTTGATTAATGGCACCTTTAATAAGGGACTCCTGGGGGTTAACATTTGAGATTGTTTGGGAGCATCCACAAGTATCAATCATGTCCATTTTCTTTCCTGAGAGGAAGCTTTTACAACTTGTTCCCTTCCATAATAGGAATTACTGAAATCTTGTTTGTCCCTTCTTCCTTTGCTCCATCATACCCCCGCTGTTTTCCCTGTCTTCAGACTGGGGTGACAGAGCAATCCTGATCCTTCTGCTGGAGGTCTGCACTAGAGAACAAGGTGACTACCACCAAGAAATCGTTGTGCCATCCAGAGGAATGTGATGTGTCTGCAGTGCTTCAGCTCACACCCTAAACTCTGACTTCAGAGGCAGGAAATTAAGCTGACAGGGATGCCAGTAAAATATGAGGCCAGTCCTCTCTTGTGACTTTGAAGGAGGCTGTGGAGCATGGGCTCTCTAGCCTGCTGGGTCAGGGATCGCTGCCCTTCAGTGGGAGAAGTCCTGGGAGGTGGCTGCCAAAGCTTGTTCTCACAGTGTGTAGAGTAGGGAGGGTTTGAGAGAACTAGGCTGAGGCATGCAGGCATGGAAGGACTGAATAGTTGAAGTTCAGGTCTCTTTCTAGCAGAGCAAACTGTTTATCAACTGCATGATTAATCATCTTATCTGTTTTCCCAGTTAACCAGCTGGGTTATCCTTTATCTTTGTCAAGTGAATTATACAATCATGTTAAAACAGCTTAACTATTTGTTCCCAGAGTGGCAAAATAGGTAACTTACTCCTTGCACAATAATCAAGCAACAATTTGCTAGTTTGATTTTTTGTTTGCCTAGTTGTTTTTTGTCTGAGCTTAGTCTTGCACTTTTTCAATTCAAAAGCGCTTCCTCTGCTTGTCCCCAGAGGCAAACCACGTGCACACTGCGTGGAGTCTTACATGCCAGGTTGGTGTCCAGGTATGGGATGGCTGTTTTATTCTATTTCCTCCTTTGTGTTCAAGTCTCCTGAGCCCCAAATTTTTCAGGATCACAGTAGCCGTTCCTTCCCCCAGCAGGGGATGTCAGTGCCTGGTAGCCAGCCTATTTACTAAGGACCGGAATTGCCATTCCCAGTGTGCTTGCAACAATTACTGTTCGTACTTTTTGAGATCTTGAAGGCTCTGGACGTTTGCAGCTTATGTTTGAGTAAACTTAGCTATGACAAGTTTTTATAGCTCATAGTGATCCATCTGCTGAAAGTATGTGGTGCTCTTTTCTTCTTTTAGTTTTCTCCAATACCAAATTACAGTGCAGACAAAAATCCTAATTAGAGAACCAGGCTATAAAAAGAAAAGGCAGTTTTCCTTTTACTTGCTTCCCCAGGCTGCAACTATGGGTCATGTCCTGTGTCGTAAACTGATGTGGCTCTTTTGGCTTCATTAGTGCAGTAGTGATTTATATCAGCTGATGCTTTGAAGGCCAAGAATTTATTCACTTGGCTGTAACTGGTATCAGACATATCCAGAACTCTCTACGGAAGGTGCTTGCTGCTGCGGAAGGGACGGATGCCCCAAAGACCTTAGAACAATGCAAGGAATTATGGATGTGTTTGACTTGCTCCATAATAACTGAACTCTTGTACCCTAGCCAAGGCCTGCGTGAAGGAAGAGCTTATCCGATGATGCCGTTGGTCATCATTTCTTCAAGACTTCATTTGTTCCGTGTCTGATTTAAACTACAGCGCTTGAGGCAGTCTTTTGAATACTGCAAAAATATTTAAGTGTAAGCTATGAGTTCAAGCAGAAACAAAGAACAGAAAAACTGAGTTAGCATTACATGCTGTGAATACATTACATTTTTCCTTGTACGATTAAATGGAATGATGTTGTTATCAAATCTCGCTTTAACGCCTGTCTCCCAGAGGCAGAGTATGTGTTCAAACTGTGTTGGAGGCTCTTAAATAGAATGGAACAAATAGCAGAATTATAATGACTTCTTCATTGTAAACCTGCCTGAAACGACTCCTTGAACTTTGCAAGTGGGGCATAAAGATGTAAATGGCGGTCTATCAGGTAACAGAGATTTCAAGATTTCGCCTCTTTTGCTTGGGCTACCTGCTATGGTGTGTTTAATCTAGGAATTTCAGGAACTCAGGGAAGTGTTGCAAAATGAACATGCCGATCACCGTGTAAGTAATCCGTGCAGCACTTTTTCCCGAGGAAAATAAGTAGATCCAGGACCAAGATGCTGAAGTACAGCAAGCATAGCGAACGGAGTGATATTTGGCTCTTAATTCTGGCTGAGCACACCACTGTAAATCCAGACTAATGATTCTGATTCTGGGAGAGGTGATAGAGGCTGCTGATGACCAGACCTTCACTTCCTACCACTCTTTAGGGTTTATAGAGTAATGGGCAGTAACAGAAAATCTGCTGTAGCTCAAGTAGCAAAGGAGATGAGAGAGGTGTTGAGCAGCCTGTCAGGCCTCATCTTGATCCCTGACTGAGGTCAAATGAACTCTTCTTCTGGGAAGCCTTTTTGTTTTGTCCCCATCACAACTGGAGGTGTGTCCTGATGGTGGTTTGAGGTTTTGGACCTCTACTTGCTTTGCCTGAGTTTCAGCAAGTGGTTTTGTTCCTATAAATCCGTAGTGTTGATGAAAACATCCCTCAGCAGAACATTTCTTAAGGAGAACTTGAAGGAGTTGGGGTTTGGAGAAATAACAAACTTAAATATTCAGGCAGTCTTGACAAGGCATATAGAGTGTCAGTAGGGACTGTGATTGTGCATGCGGCTGTTGTGTGAGTACAGCTGCTGTTCCTGTGAATCATCAGGTGTATTACTATTGCTCTTAAGCAACTTCCATAAAAATAACAGTAAATTAACGAATGTGGGGGCACTTTGTCAATCCTAAAGCGGATTCTAGATCAAATTCACAATCTTTCCATCAATAAAACTAATTTTAAACCTTTCTAAAGGTTTACATGGTTTCATGGTAAGTGTCTACAAGCAGGAGACAGGTGAAATGCTGGATTGTCAGATGCTGGATCTGTATTTCAGCGTATCTTTGTCACATATCACACTTCTTGCAGGAACGTAAAAGACACAAAACCTGAAGAAGCTGAAGAGCGTTCTAACAGCAGATAACCCTAAGACACTCTCTACAGCTAACTGCAACAGGCCCTAACATAATAATGTAGCAAATGCCACAAATGAACTGCAGCTGTTAATTGAGGTGGCCTGAAGC